GACTATAAGAACAAAAAAAAAAACACCAGAAGATACTAAAATGTTCTTGTAACATTTTTTAATACTGCTTTTACATTACCTATACCAAGGGTTTTAACTACCTTAGAATTTTATAAGAAAAATTAACATGTATTTTTACTTTCCTATCTGTATACAGATATAAGGAAAGTATAGGAATCATGATTTTTTTCGACCTGGAGTTTTCGACGGATTTTTACGTTTTGAGGTCCCCTGAATCCGTTTTGACTATTTTCGCGATTATGTCTGTGTGTGTGTGTCGCATAACTCATGAACCGATACACAGAAAAACACCAAATATTAAACTTAAGCTTTGTTCTAGCGTCCAATGAACTGATTAGATTTTGGGCAGAGTCGGAACATCTGAGGGGTACTTTATAGGTGGTCATTTTTATATTTTATGGAATATATCTGTTATTTACATTTGGAGAAGAAAATTCTTCAAATAAAAATTACTCATAATGTTATTATCTATAATTTTTGTTCTATACAAAATTTTCCTAAAATGGTCCGTATTCGAGAAATTTGATAAAATGTAAAAAAATATTTTTTTATAAAAATTGTTCAAATAAAAGTTGTTTGTAATATAATTCTCTATAATTTTTATTCTATACATAATTTCTCTAAAATGGACCGTATTCGAGATATTTGAGAAAATGTGTAAATTTCGAATTTTGAAGAAAACTCAAAAACGAATAATGAAAAAAACATTAAATTTTAAACATAAGTTTTATTTCGGCCTGACGTAAAACGATTAGTTTTGGACAAAGTCGGAACAGCTGGGGGGTACTTTATGGGAGGCCGTTTTTATATTTTATGGAATATATCTGTTATTTATGTTTGGAGGAGAAAATTCTTTAAATAAAAGTTACTGCTAATATTATTATCTATAATTTTTGTTTTATGCCAAATTTTCCTGAAATGGTCCGTATTCGAGAAATTTGACAAAATGTGCAAAATTCTGATTTTTATGAAAATTGTTGAACTAAAAGTTGTTTGCGATATCGATCTTTATAATTTTTGTTTAAACATGATTTTTCTAAAATGGACCGTAATGGAAAAATTGTAGGAAAAGTGCTATATTAAAATAATCAGTATTTTCGTTTTCAATGAATATCTAGAAAAATGTTTCGAGGTAGATGTATGTGGAAAATGTATATATTTAGTTTATCCTCTAAACATTTATAGAGGTGTTGCAATAGGTTGAACAAAATAACCTGAAAAAGCCTATAATAACTAGATAGGAAAGTCATGTGTTGGACACATCAGATTTTTTTATTTCAAACCATTAAGATATATATATTTTTGTAAAATAACAATAAATATTGCTGATACTAAATATGGAATTACCCGGTATTCTTGTAACCATATTTTATACCTCGGCCTCGGACACTTTTCTAAGGCCTTTTAGTTTGAAAAATCTAAACATTCCTCTAATTAAAAAAACTATAATGTTCAAGAGATAATTTACCATTATGCACTTTTTAATGTGCATAAATATATAAATGTTATTGTAAACAGTCTATAAATGCATTGAGAAAATAGATAAGCCCCACTACATGTTCATACAAGTTAAAAATTCCAATATCTTAATTGATTGCACTAATTCTAAATTTTACGATAAGGAAAAAATGGATTATTACTGTAAAAAAAATGCACAGTATGCAATTTTAATCATTATAAAAATGCTATAATTAACATTCTAGAAACACCAAGAAAATAGATAAAAATGTAACAATATTATCTGATTGATTAAATAAAAAATCTCGCGTTCACCTCTTCGTTTTTCGACTGTGCTATAAATAATAATAAAGTTGATTTTCTGTGAGTCATTTTTAAGCTAAGTAATATGTATTGAACTAAAATATTAATAGTTGAATTATTCTTACCTACATGCCCAAAGGATTGGACACAAATTATGAAAGAAGACAAAAAAATTAAAATGTTCATCATTAATCATTAATTATCTAATTAAAAGTAAATATAATAATCTAACACAATAACCACACTTTTTTTATATTATTTCTTCCACCTGTTGAACTTGAAGACAACGAACAACAACGAAAGCGAACAAAATAACACGAATACGATTGAATAAAAATTTGAAATTTGAATCTGGACCGATCTGACTCCCACCTCTCTCTTCCCCCACCTATTTCTTGCTGAACGCTGTGTCTAAGTTGCGGTGTACGTAAATACAAGTAGCAGCAATGCTGTAAATGAGCAAATCTTAGAAATCGGTTTTACATTAATATCACAGACATGCTTTTGACGATTTTGATTGTTCATCAGGTTTGTTTTTAGTACTAGATGATATTTTAAACCTGATTATATTAAAATTATTGAGCCCATTGGCGTCCAGACGGTAACCTAATTGATATTTTTTAAAACTGTTTCTTAAAAAAAAAGAAATGAAATTTAGATGCTGGTTGGGAAGAAGAGCAACGCATTTAAAAATAATTGATTTTACAGTATGAAGCCGTTTTTAAATTTATTTATAAATATTTCATTAAAAATTTCAAAACTTATATAATTAATTTAATCTTGTTCGTCGTATGTTTAGTTCCATTTTGAAAAAAATTGCCTCGGTATTATTTTGGCAAACCGTCAACATATTGATACAGAATTGTAGTTATAAAATATGCCACAGAATTACCTCCTTCAATAATAACATTACATTTAGGAATGCTCTGTGTATAACTAGCCCTATTTTCGCAATGGAGAAATCAGAATCGAAAATGTAGCAGCAGAAACTAAATTGACATAGGCCATATAGGTGCGATAATTACCTTATCAGATTGATATTTTTGACAATTTCTACGGTATATGGTCCAAATCACAATACTGTGCATAATAATTTGGTAGATTTAAAAAAAACAAATATGCAAAAGAATACGTAACACAGCTCATGAAAGTTTAAAAAAATTGACCAAATTCAAGTTACGTTGGCAGTTTTAGGTATTTTAAAATAGTGATAGCTTTAATATCCTACTCTACATGATGGTATCAGAAAATGTAACCTCTTCAAAACTAACTTGCAAGATAAAAAGTCAAGTTTTTACGGATTTATTAACATTAAGTATAATTTTTTTGGCTGCATTTACGGCTGCTTTTTATGAACACAAATTCTGCTTATCATACTTATCGTTAGTGATTCTTTACAAATATTTTTTTCCGTGAGATTTCCTGCTGCGCCGGTCCTACAGAAGCGCCGGTTGGCGCCTGTCTTAGCGCCGAAAGGCACCGGTCCTAGCAACGACAGTCGTCGCACAGAGGGGAAGAAATAACTGTCTGTTGAAGATGCCCTGGCTTTACTGGTAGACGCTAAGTTGTCTAGGTACCAATATGGCTTAACAATTGGCCCACTGATTGAAGAGGGGCAAGAGGCGCGATACAAAGATTTTAAAAATTATTGCGAACAATATTCCAGGAAATGTTACCGAGAAAAATCCAATGAAGACATTTTTAAATTGTTTTTATTGAGTTCAGACCCACTGTTGACAAGTAAAAAAGGAAACGAAAAAGAAACTAAAAAACATACCAAATGATGCTTTAGATTTGTTAGTGTCTTCCACAGTCACAGAATATCAAAGTAATGAACACGATGACTCATTATTTCCTTATTCTGATGAGAGCTAATGATTAAAATATATATTGATTTAGGAATTCTTTTTTGTAATAAAAATCTACCAATGATTAAGTTAATATTTAATGCATAAATAATGCGTTCCATGTTTTATTTACACATAACATGTATTTTATTCGTCTAATACACGATTCATGGCATATAAGAATTAATACCAACTTTTGAGGCATTCTGCACCAGTGTGCGTCAGTTCAATATATAATGCAAGAGTTGCAGAAATTGCTAACTGTGCTGTTATTCCATCATTTGAACATATAATATGTAAAAAGAGGCTTACCCAAAGTTGTCATTAGCTTATACATTTTTGATGACCATTTCAAGAACAGGCTAAGGAGTACTTTCAGTCAAACAAAACCGACAGCATGGACAAAACTGTCATATTAAATACAATAGAAAATTACGACGTCATTGACTGTTTATGGAAAAACCAATATTTCATTCTCAAAGAAACTGTTTTTTAGACTGCAAAACTATATGTATTTTTCATTGGAATGTTCAATGCGATCTGAGTGTATTCTTGCTTTCTTCTTTTCCATATCGATAAACAAGGATACAAATATACTCAGTGCGTACTGCCAATGACAATGGAAAACGCTTAGATTAGGAGTTATTTTTTAATTATGTGATATTTGTGTTAATAAAATGAAGAGTTCCTTTTTATTTATGTTTAGATGTTATGTAATAATAATTATTGTAGGTTCTTTTTACCTATGATTTTTATGTAAAAAATGGAGTTTGTTTTTTATTTATCATAAAAAAAAATATTCTTTTATTTAAGTCTCTTGTCAGGAAGAAAAATGTTAAAAAATGTAAGATCTACTTGATGAAACAGACGCCTCAAAAATATCAACTTTACGGTCTTGGTACACAAATAACTATTTTTTTGCCGGAACACTAAAAAGGTGGGTCACATGTTGAAATGTTATTTATATAGAAGCTATCGCACCCTTGTTTCAAAAGTGACCTAACTCAAAATTAATATCTTTAGTGTGATTAACAAACAACTCAGCTTTTTTCTCACGATTCGGTATCACCCTAATTTTAATTGTAAGTATATCTGGGGTTTGCGTTTGGGAGGCGAGTTCTGTGTTCTGGGGCACCCTGTATATTATTCATCATCTATTTTAAGATAAAAAAAACTATAAATCACTGGAAAAAATACATACTGTTTATTGCAATAACAGTATAAGGGCTTCCAATATTTTTTTCAGTAACGCGTTGTAGCCGATAACCTAATATTTAGCTAAACTAATAAAAAATAGGGTGTGTCAAATGTGTATAATGCTATAATGGTATATATTTATATAAATAACTATTATACATATACTTCACTTACTTGGATTAGTCACCTGTGAATAAGCACAATGTATTAAAACTGCAAATAGATATAATCTATTCATTTTTATTATAATATAGCCGAAACAATACCAGTTCAAATTGAATACTAGCGAAAAAGTGACTGCGAGTACCCCAATTTAAAAATTCGTGGATAATATAGATAATCCTTATCTAATCTTATCACAATCTCACTAAATAAACTAGGTACATATTATATCACGTATTTCAGCGAAATCTGCCTGTCTATATCATTTCGGCTATCAAAACAAAATAAAATGCAAGCAAGCATCATTTTTTTATACAAATAAGAAAATTGAGAATAGAATGAATACATTTTAGTTATTCAATAAAATCTTGGAAAGGGGAAAATATAAAAGGAGTAGAGAAGCAGCAGTCTCGTTTTAATATATAAAAAGCCATAATTATGTTCTTAATTGTAGGTACCATATACGAGGTACAGTTAAAAAACCCATATTAGTGCTATAAAATCATTTATTGCTTTTCTTTCACAATTTTAACATTATCGCCTTCAATATACATCCCTCCAAGATCCTTACACCGTTCCATTCGAATTTTCCATTATTAATATTTCAAGCATGTTCATGAACTCTTCTTCTTATTCTTTGACAGCTTTACTCTCTCAAATGTGATTTCATTAATGCTGACTAAAAAAGACATACAAGGAGATCCGGTGATTTTTGTGTGGATGTTCTAATACAGGGATCTAATATACCTACTTGGCCAAAAACCGGTTGACACATGCAATGTGGACTGCATCAGCGTTATCCAGATGAAGAAATCACTTTTTGCTTTGGTTTCTACCGATTCAACATCACTCCACATTCATAACCGATCTTTTCAATGTTCCTTCGTTGACCTCAAAGACCTGAGTGGGTGCGATAAACACTTATCTCCATATCTTTCTAAGCATACGCTTTTGTGGCGGATCTTTCGATTTTCACAAAGAACTTTACATTGAAGCATTGCAAATCCAAATTAAGCCGGGCGTAACCTTTACGATGTTGAGAGGAGATGTCACGTGACATGCTCGTACTTCGTTTGAACTTTACACCCTCGCCGTTTGTCTCCAAAACGATAAGTCCATTTTTTCCAGCCACACCTCAAGTAATGCGTACTTAATTTTGGACAATGCACAGAAATCAAAAAATTATTACGTATTCGTGAATTGAGGACACTTTGCGCATTAAATTGGGCAAGTTCTAAGCTATCAGCTGCATATAATAAATTTTAAATAATAACGTAAAATATTACGAGCAAAAACTTAAGCGGCATGTAGAGCAAAAAGAAGGCTAGATCATTTTAACTGATTTTTTGATATTCGAATGGGATTCTTCTTATTTATTGTATCCCAAACGACCAAATTATCAAAAGGTTCTATTATGCTGCTCTTCTGGATAAGATACAATTAGCAACTACAGAAATATGATCTGGAAATGCTCAAAAAAGGTGGCCTTCCTTCATCATAACCAGTGTCACTGTGGTGTGTCAAATATTAAACAAAAGTAGCAGAACAGAGAACGCATTTCAAATAACACTTTTTACGTAACTTTTGGAAAAAAGTTAAAGGTAAATATAATATATAAATTACAAATTGTTCTCAGCTTTAAAATTCATAATAATTCAATTGTTGTTAGAGGGACGCTTTTACTTCACAATAGCACGAAGTATTTGGTTGGTTAAATTCTTTAAAATTTTGATTCCCCAACCATTTTTTTCAACTTTCTTCGTTAATAATATGGGTCCAAAAAGTTTCAATTGGCTGCGCATGAGAAATATTTAGGTGGTAACATATTATGGGACATCGCTTATGTGTTTTTAACCAGTTCATAATAATTCTGGCACAACGCGCGATATTACTTGATTTGTGCAAAACAGGTACAGTCATCGTCAACGACATATTAATACCAGGCATTCTTGTAATGTCACAAAAATCCTGAAAAATCGACGAATTTTACTTTTGGGATGCTAAGGCTATCCTGTTTGCCTGAACCAGGGACCGGGGTTTGTTTAAGTGGTCGCTTATTTTTTTAACAGGTTAATTCCCAATAGTTCGATAGATGTTAAAAAATGTATTTTTTGTTTTGATGTAGCACTTTACCTGACCTGTCTTTCTCAATTATATTGATTCTGAGACTCACTAATGATGTTTTTTTTTATCAGACACGAATAACGAAAAAAGTTATTCTTATTGTACTCAGAAGCTTCCAGAACTTTTGTTTATCCATTATAAAAGATCACTTTCAAGACTTATTATGTAAATATTCCTTCTATGTCAATCCTTCGACAAGTTTGTTGTTAATTAAAAGTAACACGTTATATATTTACTTCTTATAACATCTTATTAATTTTTATTGATAATTCTATTTACTGCACAAGAATAGGTAATGGTCCCCAGTACATCCACCTTCGGATTTTGTAACTACTGTACACACTAACATCCTGAGCGCCTTCATAACACCAAGACAGACAAAGTTTTTCATATGCTTCACCCTGGGCGATGCGACATTTTCGCGCTAGTCTTCGTGAAGTTGTCGTTCTGGCGTCCCTAAGGAAGTTGATGCATGTACCTGTAGTTTTAATGTAAATCGACGGTTTTTTATATTACATTAACGATATCATATTACTCGAACACAAATTACATAGCTATGGGGGGGTCCAACGCCCCAAACATGTCGCTGTGGCGTCCTCAAGGAAGTTAATACATGTACCTGTGGTTTTAATGTTAATCGATGGTTCTTTATATACCATTATCGAAATCATATTTGTCGGGCAAAAATCACGTGGCTTTGGCGGAGTCCGACGCCCCTAACATGTCGCCATGGGGCCCCTAAGGAAGTTGATACATGTACGTGTAGTTTTAATGTTAATCCACGGTATTTTATATTAAATTAATGATCACATTTGTCGGACAAAAATCATGTGGCTTTAGGGGGGTGGGGGGGTTGATGCCTCCAACATGTCGCTGTGGCATCCCTAAGGAAATTGATACATGTATGTCCGTCAAAAATAATATTATGAATAACAATTTATTTTAAAACATATGTAGTAAATCTTGGACAAAAAAAAATTAAGTATTAACGTCAGTCGGACAATAAAAGTCCATATTTACGAAACTGAAAAGCGTGACAACCGTGATGATAGGGCATCAGGTTCGAATACAATCATTTAGGTCAATCAGGTCCATTTTATGTGAAATTTCGAAAAAAAGGTCATCAGCGTGACGTCTGGCAACCCTAGTCAAAAATATGAAAAAATTTGTCCGACTACCAGGAGTTACAAAATCCAAAGGTCGATGTACTGGGGACTATGACCTCTGAATCAACCACAAATCTACGACACTGCAATATAAAGGGAGTTCGGAAACGGAACGTTAGCCACTATCAGAGACAGGGTTGTCTCTGCGACTATCCACAACTTTTTGTTTATCTGCGAGCCAGGGTTGCCGTTGTTATTACAATAATTGTAACAAATCTATAACTATTTTATGAAAGTTGAACTCAAAAATTTAATTTTGAACGTTGCAATTTCAGTGACAAAGATAACCGTGATAGTAAGATATTTGAAACTAGGAATCATGTTAAATGCTCTATAGTCATGATACTTATTTAAGTAATAAATTCATGCATTTTTTAAGTTCCTAAAAAAATTCACGTTGCAAACAGCAAATTTAGCACTAAATTTAGTACTAAAAAATTACTTAATTAGATCTTGTTCTATTTTCTACTAAATTTAGTACCAACAATGTGTCGAAATGTTTCGTAGAAGAACAGTTGAAAAATCGAGTTTTTCTTTACCATTTTATTTTTGCGGTTATAAGCGATATTTCCATTATCGCCTTGGATAAAATTTCACTTGTGTTTGATTTTGCAGGTTTTATTGTGATTTTTTTTTGGATTTTTAAGAGCATTGATGTATTTGATTGCTGTAAAGTCAACTAATATCAAATTTATTTTAAGTTCTAAATTTAGTATCGTGACATACAGCCTTCGTTTCAAAATTTTATTATGAAAAAATAAATTGTATGGTATGACAAAACTGTAGTGTATCTTACCTACTTAAACAGGACATTAATTTGAATCGCGAGCGAGTAATAAAATATCGGCAAAAGAACATTCAAAATTATATAGTTTCTACAAAACTATCATAAATTATCTTGATAAAAAATCGAATAAAATGATTTAACGTAGACGCCTCAAGGACGTCTCTGCAGTCTGCATTTGACATTTGACATTTAGATAATACGTTTGACATTTGTATTTTGTGTTTGTGAAGTGTGTTGTTTACAACTGCATGTTTCTCATTTTACGAAATTTTTAGGATTTGCATAGTAATTTATGATATAATAAGAAATAAAATTAAATTACCATGGCGGATGCTGCGGCTCGACAGCTTCAATATGAATATAAAGCTGTAAGTATAACAAATACAGTTTAGAGGTTATGTCATCCTAAACGTTTCTTTTGCGTTTATGAATAAAATCAATTAATAGTTATAAACATTTTTAGTACATTATACTATTTTTATTTCAGAATTCAAATCTTGTACTTCAAGCCGATGTTAGGCTTATTGAACGTAGAAGTAGAGATGAGGCTACTGGAGAGGTTATGTCCCTTGTTGGTAAGCTTATTGGCACTAAAATGGGAGACAGAGCCCAAAGAACTAGACCTGGAAAAGCAGAAGAACGTAAAGTCAAGTAAGAATAAATAATTTAAATAGTTACCTACACATATACCTAAAGATGTGCTTTTAAATAGATAGGTAATTGAACAATTTCTTGCAGACGTCAAAAAAGAGATGAAGCTCAATATGATTTTGCAAGAATGAAAGGTGCCACTTTACTATCAGAAGGAGTTGATGAGATGGTGGGTATTATATATCGACCAAAAACTCAAGAGACTCGGCAGACATATGAAGTACTACTAAGTTTTTTACAAGAAGCTCTTGGAGATCAACCTAGAGATATTCTTTGTGGTGCTGCTGATGAAGTACTTCAAGTATTAAAAAATGACAGACTGAAGGAACGAGAGAAGAAAAAAGAAACTGAAACATTGTTAGGTATGTTTATCAAGATTAAGGTTCATATCTATTAATCTAACTCAGGTGAGTTCAACTTTGAATGAAAATAAAAGTTCAGTAATATCGTGGGGATTTACAGATGGATACCCAGTAACAAATCCGTATTTATGGTTTTGCTACTGCCCATCTCTAAATTCCAGTGCAAGACTAGAATCACTTGAGTCAGACTCATTTGAGTTTTGTTTATACATATGGACCTATATGTTTAACAATGCGGTACATTCATAATTTCCAGAAACATTCTAAATTGTAATAAATAGGGTAAGATATAACTATTCGAACATAGAGTAAATGCAGATTATTTGGAACAAAATAATAAGAGATTCATCATGTCTTAATAAAATATTGCTGTGGATCAGTGTTAAAGTTGAAATATGTTTTTTTGGTATAAGTGTATTCATAAATAATTATTAAAATTTGCAGTATTGGAACAGAGGCAATATTCCAGGCAAGGAATATTATTTTATAGGGGCACAATCTCTGTTGATGAAATTGGATCATATAGTGTTTTTAGTACGCCAATAGTCCCATTCCTCTTTAGCATTAACATAATGCATGAAACAAAAATTCTTAAAATATTGTTGCAGTATTGATAAAAAAAATCTGAATATCTATATTTAATGGATAAAGAAAACCATCTTCTGTGTGTACCAATAAAAAAAATCTTTCATTGACCCATGAATATACTTCATTGCTTTATTACTTTGAGACAAATAACTTTATTGTTTTTTGTTTAGGTTCCATAGCAGATGAAAGATTTGCCTTATTAGTTAACTTAGGTAAAAAAATTACTGATTTTGGAAATGAAGATAACAAAGATGGTGCAGGTGAAGAAAATATTGATGAAACATATGGTATTAATGTACAATTTGAAGAGTCAGAAGAAGAGGATGACGAAGATATGTATGGAGAAGTTAGAGAAGAGATGGATGAAGAAGAGGGAGAAGAAGCAAAAGAAGATGGTGCAATCCATGCAGAAAATGTAAGTTTTGTTTTTTTACATTTTTATCATCTGAATTGTCCTATTAAGTATCATAATCAAAATAAAATTAAATATAAATACCAAAAACTTCAAAAGGTTTTTAAATTAGACCTTTTTTGCATTATCATTATTATTTAATGATCATAATCCAAAGTCATTTATTAGGACAATTATATTCTTAGAAATGATTGATATTTTAGTTATTATTGTTAGACATTGCCAATTTCTAGATAAAGTTCCCAAAAAAATCAAACTAGAAAAACAACTGAAATAAATAAATAAAGAAAAAAAAATGAAAATCTCCATTTCATGTATCCTGTCCTTTATATAAAACTTTATATTCTTTATATTTATGTTGTATTTATACTAATTTTTTATTTATAGTTTGTTTAACTTTGTAGTTTGTTTTAAAGTAAACAACTAATTTAAAAAAAATCATGAATATTTTATATTTTACAGCTGGGTGGTGCAGATGAATCTAAAAAAGAAAAAGCCCTGCATCCTTTGGACATTGATGCTTATTGGTTGCAAAGAAAACTCTCCAAAATATATGACGATGCCATGGTGTCACAAGCTAAGGCAGGAGAGGTGTTGAATGTTCTTCGAGATGCCAGTGATGATAGAGAATGTGAAAATCAATTGGTCCTTTTGTTGGGATATGATTGCTTTGATTTCATCAAACAATTGAAGAAGCATAGGCAGATGAGTAAGTTGCATTTTCATTTTATCTCCATATATTCATTTGCATAAGAAAACTTGGATAAGTTTTTTAATCTACATCAAACAAAAATAATAAAATAAAAAGTAGTTAATGGTTTTTATTTATACAAAATGAAAGACTACAATCCACCTCTGTTTGGATAAGGTTCTTTTTGAAGATGTTCTCTGTAAATGTTTTTACAATAAAAGGAAGTATTTGAATAAGAGATAATAATAATTATAGACATGTAGGAAATATAAATTTAAAGTACAAGGTGTTAGAGATGACACCCACATAGTTTCAATAATTGATTAAGGAGACAAAATATCAGTGTATTTTTTAAACATAATATAAACTTTATTTTTTTCCCATATCTGACAATAGTGAGTGGTAAAAGATTAATCCCATTTCAAAGAATCCTTGTGGCATGATGTTAATTTGCATGGTGTGGTTAGGCAATCATTTTTTTTTAATATTTACATACATGTGTTATTTTATATTTAAACATCTTACCTAAGTATTAACGTCTCGAACTAATACTATTAACATGAAAACTTCAATTTTGACAAGAGTTGTCAGTCATCATATTAGGTATTCCAATGACCTGCCAAAATGCAGCCAGTGGGAACTGACTGTTTAGATATGACAACCCTGAGGGCCTATTGTCATTGACAGGGTCAATGATACATATATAGTTATTTATTTATTTGTATCCAAACAGTCCAACGGCCTTATTACATGGATAAAAGTAACATAATACATAAATAATAATGATAATAAACAGTAGGTAATTACAACTTATTCAGTATTAAAATTATTTAAGAGTAATGTAATAATTAATCAAGAGCAATGTAATAATAAAATACAAGTTTTCGGAACATATTAAATGGTAGGGTCCAGTCTACATCAATAAAAGTGTTAATATTATTTGCCAATCGGAGCATGGTCACAAGAGGTGACCTGGCAGTGGTAAGAACTAAAGGAATACTAAACATACATGCATGGATGTCTCAATATCCTCGGAGGTACATTAAATCCTATTAAGTATAGTAGTTCAGGTGAGTTAATTTCATAGTTAATAATTTTATATAAAAAGTCAACAATATCATATTCCTTCTGGTGTGAAGGGAAGGTATTTTAAATTATTTTCTTAAGTTTGCAGTTCTAACAAGATTGTAGTCTGGGTATATATGGAGTTTTTTGAAATAAAGATATCTAAGAAAATTTTGTATTTTTTCAATCTCATATAGATTAGTTGGATGTTCCCCTATCCATACCTAAGCTCCAAATTCAAGTTTTTGTCTAAATAGAGCATAATAAAGAATTTTTATAGATTCTATGTTAGTAAAACTTCTAGTTTGCCTAATATAAACCCCAGCATTCTATTTGCAGCCTTAACTATATTTTTTACATGATTAGAAAAAGATAGAACACAATCATAGGTTATATCTAAGTCTTTTACCTCTGTACGTTGTTCTGTTACTTCTCCATTTATAAGATAATGGAAAATAACAGAATTTTTCAATCTACTTATTGTCATACTGCTACATTTTTTTGTATTGAAATTTAATTTATTGTTATAACACCATTCATTTATGTTGTCTATATCTTTTTGTAAACTCCCTAACAGTCTGTATTTTTTTTAAAAATTTAAGATCATCGGCAAATAGAATGTTATGTATGTTACTGAGGGTGTAGATGTAATTCTTAATATTAATAGTTAATAAAAGGCACCATGTCTCTAGTAGGTATTAGGTTTTATTGTTGACCGCTTTATATGTTTATGTTACAATTCACATTGATACTACCACCACCTGAAGGACACTGCATGTCGTCGATGTACAGGTAAAGCGCGGTTGCCACGCTGACTTATAAATATGAACATATACGACAGTTATACATACATATACGACAGTCTGTAAACCTCAGCATAGATGGTAAATCATTAATAAAAATTTAAAAAAGGAGGGGTCCCAAATTGGAGCCCTGTGGCACTCCACTATATGCTATAAATGTTCCCGATGTGTTTCCATTACGCTTAACAAAAATTGAATATCTATTTTCTAGGTAGCTCTTAAATAGTGTAAGAATACTATTTGTCAAACCAAATTTACTCAGTTTTAAAAGCAGGACATCATGATTTACCTTATCAAATGCTTTTTTAAAGTCTGTGAATATTACATCAAGTTGGATTTTGTTTTCAAGTGTTTCATAAGCTGTAGTTACAAAACTAAACAAATTTGTACAAATTTTTTTGAAACAAAACCATTCTGCTGGGATATCACTGCTCTCAACATGTTGATATAGTCTTGCATACAGTATATGTTCATATAATTTAACAGGGGCTGATATAAGTGATATGGGCCTAAAGTTTTCGATTTCAATTTTTGTTTCCAGATTTAAATATAGGAGAAACTAGTGCAGTTTTCCATAAGTGTGGAAATTTATTTGTTGCAATATTTAAGTTTGAAGATATGAAGCAAAGGTCTTTTTAACCACTCATTACAGGCCTTCAGAACATATGGTCCCGCTACTTTTTTTGGTTTAGGCGTTTTAATTGCTTCTTCGTATTCTAAATTCGTAATTAATTTTAAATTTAAAGCATTATTTGTAAAATTTTCAGAATCACAAGCTACCTTATAACTTGAATATACTGATGCAAAGAATTCTAGGAATGCATTTGCAGTTCAGTGGCGGCTCGTGGGTGTGTAGAAGGGTAAGGCTACATGAGGTTAATTTTGTCCGAAAAGTGAAGTCCAGATGGAACATTTTTGTAAATATTTTCTAAAATTTAAAGTTAAAGTTAAAAAAAAAAAATTCTGATTCTACAGACCTACTAATTATTGTTTACACTTTCGAATAAGGTAACATGCCTTTCTCTTGAAAATGGCGCGTCCTAGCGAGATGCAACAAATGTTGCTTTATTATACAGAAAATATTGGTTTTCCAAATTTTATAGTAAAAAAATCTGATGTGTCCAACACATGACTTTCCTATCTAGTTATTATAGGCTTTTTCTGGTTATTTTGTACAACCTATTGCAGCATCTCTATAAATGTATAGAGGATAAACTAAATATATACATTTTCCACATACATCTACCTTAAAACATTTTTCCTACAATTTTTCCATTACAGTCCATTTTAGAAAAATCATGTATAAACAAAAATTATAGAGATCGATATCGCAAACAACAAAAATTTTCATAAAAATCAGAATTTTGCACATTTTGTCAAATTTCTCGAATACGGAGCATTTCAGGAAATTTTGACATAAAGCAAAAATTATAGATAATAATATTAGAAGTAACTTTTATTTGAACAATTTTCTTCTCCAAACATAAATAACAGATATATTCCATAAAATATAAAAACGGCCTCCCATAAAGTACCCCCCCAGATTTTCTGACTCTGCTCAAAATCTAATCAGTTCATTGAACGCTGAAATAAAGCTTAAGTTTAAAATTTAGTGTTTTTCTGTGTATTGGTTCATGAGTTATGGTGGATACAGACACACACGGCAATTTTACCATAAGCTCCCCCTATTTTACCCACCTAAGAAGATGATTAAAAACTGGGATTTAGTCCAATAAATGGAGCGTATAAAGGTAAGTATTTGTACCAAATTTTACCTAATTATCTTTAAACGTTTAGAAAATATTTACAAAAGTGTTGTATCAGGACTTCACCTTTAACACCCTATATCTCGGAAAAGAAAAGTTTTCGGACCTATATTTATATGAACTTTTACTACTATTTTAGGATGTAGATTACGCTGTTAAAATATGACCGTCTAATTTCGGGACACCCTGTATATTATCTATAACTATCAATAAATAAAAAATATTTGAGTTGTTTGGTTTAAAAATATTATTCCTACATTCCTATAATATTAACAAGCCACTAAACCCCCAGTAGGCGGCGATAGCCAACGAATTACTTCGCCAATTGATGACATATACCTGTGTTCATGTAATTGTAATCGGACCCTACCCAATATGATTATTCTTCAGCGCACGACACACAACATTGCCAAATTTATGTAGCGAACAAGGTTCCAAATACTTTAAGGGGAGGTCGTGAGATCCGTGCGGTGTGACGTCAGAACGGACTGGATTGGTCTTAATAAGAATAAGTTTTAAAAAAATAGTAAAGTCTATAATTATAACATGAGAAATTAAAGTGATATCCACCTAAGCAGATTCAATCAATTTCAACTAAAAAAGTCTCCAATGGGGACAGTTTTTTAAATTTGCTACCAAATTCAATCAAAGAAATAAGACATTTGAACAAATTCATGACCCGTTTAAAGTTGTTTTTAACTAAAAATTGTTTTTATTCTCTAGACGAATTTGTTGGCTGGATAGCACCTAAATTTAACAATATTTTATCGGTCTCGTAATTTTATTCTGTACTAAATATTTGTTAACCATTAATGTTTTTATTAAGATAATTTTTAGCTTATTTTTTATCAACTTATTGTACCTTATGAGTATACTATGTTTGTGACTTGTATTATATCGTATAAATGATATAAGAAGATTAATAAATTTATCAATCTATTTATGATCCCGGTAAACCTTGGCAAGTCCTGAGAATGTGATCTGTCAGAATATCCATGAAGTTCCAATTACTCCCAGTCAAACATCTGTCAAAGTTTATCCTATCCATAAATTTTAACGATTTTAAAAAATGTCCCTTCTTTAATAGAGTCAGTAAATACCATATTCAATTTGTAATTGGGGACCTTGATGCAAGAAGGGGCAGCTCCATTTTTGTTATCTTTCGGGAAATTAAAAACGTTTTATAATAGTTGTCGGTCGTTTTAACAAAAATAAAACTTTCTAGTCAAAGGGTGACATTTTTACAAGTATCTTACAACTTCTTTCTTGGCGTTCTTGGTGTCCTTGGTGATATATGTATCTTTGATTGAAAGAAAAAAAATGAAAAACAATTGGAGTTGCACCCCTTTTGCACCAAAGTTAAAAAAGGTGTTACTTTTTGCACTTATATTATAAAGTAAAAAACTTGGTTTGGAAAAAAACTTGTTGAATAAAATTGAAAAATAAAAAACATTTTTTTCTTATAAAAATAAAACTTTAGTCATTTGTGCCTGATATATGGGAAACATCATCATCACCACCAAATATTTACCTTTGAAGGCTTGATAATATGTAATTTTATTGGGAGGAACATAGTTGGTAGCCAAATTGGGAATGAATAAAAACAGCCAAGAGCCAATACATACACTAAAACTAATGCTATGTGGATGATCTTAAGAAATCCAGTTAATTATTGGTACAAGAAGGGGGAGGTCCATATTTGCACCCTTCTTGTTCCAAACAGGGAGGCAATTCCGAAATTTTTAAAATTTTTGCCTTTTAATATTACTAGGGCTCGGCGATTATCAAAATAAATAATCGATTAAAATAAATAAATAATTTTTCGAAATAATCAATTAATAAAAATAATCGATTAATCGATGAATCGAAAATAATCGATTATTCCATTAAAAAAAATCGATTATTTTGTTACCACTAATTATAACAACTGCCTATTTCTTACACTAATTGAATTAGCTTAGTTTTTTATATTGATTACTTAACTAACGTTTTTCCAAAAATGGAGCTGTCCCCTTATTGCGGCAGAGTCCTCAATTGTTAAATTTATGTATTTAAATTTAAATCATTCCGTCCAGTCAATACGTTGTTAACAAGGTGTTTACCTAGAAAGTTTTGAGAAGTTTTGAAACTTGACATTCTTATAGATTTTGGGGTGTTCTTTTCAAATTTTGTCACTTAATATTTTGGTAATTTTCACTCCATTGCAGAACGATATGTATCCTGATGAATGCTGCTACTGCTGAGGCTTTGTCGAAATGATAAAATTAGAGTTGTGTATACTAATTAAAAAAAAAAACAGATCTGTCTTATTTAATTATATTTAATCTTTACCGATGTAGCCCAACTGTGTCATGCCTACTAAACGAGTGAAACAACAATAATATGTTCCTTATAGCAATTTCTTGAGTAAACTTTGAACCTAATACACTTTTTTGGAATAATTTTGCTTTCGCTGGTTTTTGAGAAGATATTTGTAGATGTGGATAAGGCTGTAAAAATGAGCAGATCAACATATCCACTGATAACTACTATGGAATTAAACTTTTCAGTCCTGGATATTTGTTTATCCGGTTCTCGATACTCTGTTTAACATCCGTTGTTTGATGGATGCCTTGTAAATTGCCTAAGCAACCCCGCAGAAAGGTTCGGGACCTGTCATGTCCTTACTAGTTGAACATTCTCTCTTTAATTCGTTGACTTTTGCATGGCACCTGTATACTTCATGGTCAGGTACCCAGGCTAAAGGGCGAACATTGAAAATACGAGGTGGTAAAGTGAAAATTGGAAAAGAGCACCCCAATATACAGGGTTTTACTTAATGATGGGCCGAAATTTCAAGGAGGCATTTCTAAACCAAATTTAAGTATAAACATTTGTCCTAAAAGTCTGGTTTTCAAGGTACATGGTGTCAAAGTTGAAACACAATAGTTTTTTTTTTTATAAATATTTCAAAGATCCTTTCGCCGATATTGTTTGTGCTAAATTAGCGTTTTATCACATAGTTCATTAACTGAAGGGACCAACCTGTCATTAAGTCGGTTCAGATTTCCGTTGTGGCTCAACTCTTAGGTCTCGGCGGTCGCTTCCAAGGTCGAAAACTTTTACCATCTCTGCTGCGTTGGAAAGGGCCCAAAATGGACCCTAAAACTGGATTCCCGCCAATATCTTCCACAATATGCAAATTAGAGAATTATTGTTTAGATAAAAAAGAAAGATCTTATCATTATCTGCAAAAATGGTCCCTATCAAAAAAATACATTCGAAAAGTAGACACTCTAAGCTTTAAAATGGTGTGCATTGAATAACAATATAATGAAATATGAGTTTTTAATAACTGTTTGTTTCAAAGATTTCTAGAACTCCGAAAACGTATGAAAAATGCAAATAAACAAATCAGTTTTGTTTTAAAACGCCAGGAAGATACTGGAAAAACATTTCTGAGATCATTCGAGACCTCTCAAAATCCCATTTAAAACAAAAATGGGATAAAAAATTATTAAAAGAAAAAAAATTATGAATGAATTACTATAAAGTGGTCCAAAATAGTGGGAAAACGCAACTTTGACCCCTTTTTCAATGTTCTTGACAGGAAATAACGGGCTTCAAGGCACACGGATCGATACCTATGGGTATTCCCATTGTAATGAACTTTGAATCATTGAAAATTATCAATTTTTGACCGAGTTCTGAAACAATTTGTCCACCCGTTTACAAGCTAATCAGCATTGCTATAGAGATAAAGCAGGGGCTGAACGAGGGGACTTTTGATTGCGGTTATCTCGAAACCTGTCGAATTCCCGACAAAAATGATAGGGACTATTTTTGTAGATAATGATAAGATCTTTCTTTTTTATCTAAACAAAAATTCTCTAATTTGCATATTGTGGAAGATATAGGCGGGAAACCAGGTTTAGGGTCCATTTTGGGCCCTTTCCGACGCAGCAGAGTTGGTAAAAGTTTTCGCCCTTGAAAGCAACCGTCAAGACCTAAGAATTGAGCCACAAAGGAAATCTGGACCCACTTAATGACAGCTTTGCATATTTTCAGGTCTTCAGTTACTGGACTAACAAAGAACAATACTGCTAAATTTCAACAATATCGGAAATGATCTTTGATTAATAAAAACCTGATTTTTTTTTAACTTTGAAAACCAAATTTTTTAGGACATGTTCATGTATGAACTTTTACATTTCAATTTGGTTCAGAAATGGAATGAAATGGAATAGTTTGGAATTACAACATATCATTAAGTAACACCCTGTATATAAGAATACTAAGTTTCAACTTTTTAGTAAAAAAAAATAACCTAAGGCTTGGACTAACAGTGAATTTCTAAATGCTAAAATCTTTATTTTCTAGTTTTATATTGCACACTACTGGCAAAATCCCAAAGTGAAACAGAACGTCAAAAAATCAAAGACAAAATGTCCGACGATTCGGGCCTAAACCGGATTTTGAAGCTTCTCGAAACCGGAAGAGGTGACGACGACGATGACGAAAACAGTGAATCGGCATCGAGACATCGTCGCGGCAAGCACGAAAGCGACATCATGGACCTGGCGAGTTCGCAGGTCTCAGGCTCCAGACATGTGGTCGATTTTGAAGATTTGGTATTCTCACAAGGTTCACATTTTATGGCCAACAAAAGGTGTCAGTTGCCAGACGGTTCGTTTAGAAAACAAAGAAAAGGCTACGAGGAAGTTCATGTTCCCGCGCTAAAACCCAAACCTTTTGGAGAAAATGAGAAATTAGTACCGATTGAGCAGCTGCCCAAATACATACAACCCGTTTTTGAAGGATTCAAAACGCTAAATCGGATTCAAAGTCGTTTATACAAATCCGCTTTAGAATCAGATGAAAATTTGTTGCTTTGCGCACCCACTGGTGCCGGTAAAACGAACGTCGCCCTCCTTTGTATGATGAGAGAAATTGGAAAGCACATAAATACAGACGGAACAATAAACGCGGACGATTTTAAAATTATTTACGTGGCTCCCATGAGATCTTTGGTACAAGAAATGGTGGGTAATTTCGGTAAAAGATTGGCTAATTATAACATTACAGTCTCCGAACTCACTGGAGATCACCAACTGACCAGAGAACAGATTCAAGCTACTCAAATCATAGTTTGCACTCCGGAAAAGTGGGACATCATAACTAGGAAGGGAGGCGAGAAAACGTTTACTTCATTAGTTCGACTCATAATCATTGATGAAATTCATTTGCTTCACGATGAACGTGGTCCAGTTCTGGAAGCTCTAGTGGCCAGAACGATTCGTATGATCGAATCGACTCAAGAAGATGTAAGGCTAGTAGGACTGTCTGCCACGTTACCAAATTACCATGACGTCGCGGCGTTCCTAAGAGTCAAACACGATTCCGGTTTATTCCATTTCGATAACAGCTTTAGACCCGTAGCTTTGGAGCAACAGTACATAGGAGTTACAGAGAAAAAGGCGCTTAAACGTTTCCAAGTCATGAACGAAATTGTGTACGAGAAAACCATGGAACACGCCGGTAGAAATCAAGTTTTGATATTTGTTCATTCCAGAAAGGAAACTGGAAAAACCGCTAGAGCTATCAGAGATATGTGTTTGGAAAAAGATACTTTGGGGCAGTTTTTGAGAGAAGGGTCAGCTTCTATGGAGGTACTGAGGACCGAAGCTGAACAAGTTAAGAATCAAGAGTTGAAAGATCTGTTACCTTATGGGTTTGCCATACATCATGCTGGTATGACTCGAGTGGATAGGACATTGGTTGAAGATCTGTTTGCTGATAGACACATACAAGTAAGTTCTAATATTGTTTTATTTAAAGATAAAAATAATTTATTTATATAAACGAGCAGATCACATTCCATTTTAAAACAGTATAAACACCATTAGTACCAAAATTATAATAGGGTTCTTAATTATTTTTTTTTAACTTTTACTACAAATAATGCAGAAACAAAAATCGTTTAACTATGGACGTACTAAATTTTATATCAAAAGAAAAAGTTTTCCCTACAGATTACTTGACGTCAAAATGACCTGCTTTCCTGATTTGATGCTCATGGTTTTTCTCTTTAGGGTTTTCCAAAAACAATTGGAAAAATCTTCGATTTTACAGAAGATCTTGTAGTGCCTCATACACTACATACTATCAATTTAATTTTTTGGTTTACTATGAAGCCCATAATTTTCATTCTGCCGTTTTCTTCATACGATCTTACTGGCTGAAATTAAATAAAAAGACGAGATAAAGGAAAGGACCCCGAACAAATCTTATGGAAATTGGGTCCCGGTCAAATTCGCTGAATTTTTGATATATGATAGAGTTCATCATACTGGTCAATTGTCTCAATGGCCACAAAGCTCAAAAATGGATAGTTTGGCCGGTACAGAGCTTAAAACTCCGATTATCCTCCACGGATTTATGTATATATGCAGTGTGTATAGACTTTTGAAATAGCCTATTTTATTTTTTTATTATCTAGGTTTATATTTTTGAGGTTGCTGAATTCAGATCTGTTAGATTTTCAAAATTGACAGTTGGCAGCTGTCAAATAGCTGTCAATGTGCTATAATAAAGCCAAAAACTTGTTTTTTTATGTTTTATCTTTCTTTTTTAGTTCGATAAGTTCAAAGATGATATCAAATCAATAATTAACTGTCAAAATGCAATAATAGAGCAAGTAACTTATTTTTCGTGCTTAACTTTGTGGATAAGAAATCAAACATGATATAAGTTTATGACATCACTTTTGAACTCAGTGATCTAAGCAACTTAAAGCTTTTTAAAAAAAAATTACTTTTTGACTTTATTATTGCATTTTGACAGTTAGCTGATTGATAGGGGTTAGCTGTAAGCCAAAAATTTCCAAATAGAAAAATACATTGATGCTTTTTGTCATTGTTAAAGTTTATTCCCAATTATTTTTTAATGTTGAAACTTTGGCTTTTACTCTTTTAGTAATGCTTAAATTCACTTTTCTACCGTCGCCATTTGGCACCCGATTTGACACCTGACAGCTGTCAAAATGCACTTTTGGCCACCAGCATCATGATCAGCAATCTTCAAAACATCGGTACACGCACTAAAATCATATACTAATGTACCAGACGATTTTTTCCGAAAAAAAGTAGTTTTTTCACTTTCAATTGTTTATAATTAAATAACAAACAATTACGTGGAAAAATCACTAGGACTAATTTCAGGAACCTCTTAGCGACATGAAATACCCATAGTCAACCATCCAAAGTCCGAATTGTAGCAGATACGGGGGAAACAAGCAAAAATCTAGCCGGTACAAATATGTACCGGTGCCCCGGAAAGGGTTAATGAGAAAGAAAGTGTAAATCTATTTTTCAATATGAACAAGTTAATAACATTATAGCACATTGACAGCTATTTGACAGCTGCCAACTGTCAATTTTGAAAATCTAACAACATATCTGAATTCAGCAACCTCAAAAATATAAACACAGATAATAAAAAAAATGAAATAGGCTATTTCAAAAGTCTATACACACTGCGCATTTACATAAATCGCGCATTTACATAAATCCGTGGAGGATAATCGGAGCTTTAAAGATCTATACCGGCCAAACTATCAATTTTTGAGCTTTGTGGCCATTGAGACAATTGACCAGTATTATGAACTCTATCACATATCAAAAATTCAGCGAATTTGACCGGGACCCAATTTCCATAAGATTTGTGCGGGGTCATTTGTGAATTTAATCAGTCATTAATTCATTAAAACCCAAACGGTTACTCATATAACAATAATTTGTTTTAATATTAAGAACATTTTTTTCTTTTTTTAATAACATTTTTTCAACAGGTTCTTGTGTCAACAGCCACATTGGCTTGGGGTGTAAACTTACCAGCACACACCGTTATAATAAAGGGTACCCAAATATACAATCCAGAAAAAGGAAGGTGGGTCGAATTAGGTGCTCTTGACGTCCTCCAAATGTTGGGAAGAGCTGGTAGGCCCCAATATGACACAAAAGGTGAGGGCATCCTAATAACCAACCATAGCGAACTTCAGTATTACCTGTCCCTCTTAAACCAACAACTACCAATTGAATCCCAAATGGTAACAAAATTACCAGACATGCTTAATGCTGAAATTGTTTTGGGTACGATTCAGAACATGCGAGATGCTGTCACTTGGTTGGGATACACTTACCTTTACATAAGAATGTTAAGGCAGCCCACTCTCTATAGCATTTCTCACGATCACATGAAGCATGACCAACTTTTAGAACAACACAGGGCCGATTTGATCCACACGGCGGCCATGCTTTTAGATAAAAGCGGATTGATAAAGTACGACAGAAAAACAGGACAGTTCCAAGTCACCGAAATAGGAAGAATAGCTTCTCACTATTACTGTACCCACGATACCATGCAAACTTACAATCAGTTACTAAAACCCATGTTAAGTGAAATAGAGTTATTTAGGGTGTTTTCTCTATCTGGCGAATTTAGAAATATCACTGTTAGAGAAGAGGAGAAATTGGAACTGCAGAAACTAATGGAAAGAGTTCCTATTCCCATAAAAGAAAGTATTGAGGAACCGAGTGCTAAGGTTAACATACTCTTGCAAGCTTATATATCGCAACTGAAATTGGAAGGTTTCGCTCTTATGTCCGATATGGTTTACGTCACTCAATCCGCATGTAGGCTTATGAGAGCCATTTTTGAAATAGTTTTGCATAGAGGTTGGGCTCAGTTAGCGGATAAATCGCTGGCTTTGTGTAAGATGGTTGACAAACGAATGTGGCAATCGATGTCACCTTTGAGGCAGTTTAGGAAAATGCCTGAAGAAATCGTCAAAAAGATCGAGAAGAAAAATTTTCCATGGGAAAGGTATGTATAAATAGTATTTTTAAATAATTCTTTGTTGTTTGTATATGAGTATAAAATAATTAACTCTCATTGTGATGTGACATGTAAACATGCATACAAACGATCTCTAAACTTATTTGTAAATGTCAGATCAGTAAACTTTAATGAGTTTTTAATAGAGTTGGGCAATACTTCACAAACAGTATCGCCAAATTCTACTTTTTGTCTAGAGTTGACGTTTCTAATTTACGGATTTACAGTCCCCTAAAAACTTTTGAAACATATTTTGTGAATTATGCTAGTTTTCTTTAAAGTTAATTGTCACTGAACCGTAATAAAATCAATTACAAATCGATAAATAAATGCTTTTTACCTTTATTAAGTAGGATGTAAAAATATCAATATTAATTTCAGATTGTATGACTTGGGTCCGAATGAAATTGGAGAACTTGTTCGAGTGCCTAAACTCGGCAAAACCATTCACAAATACGTTCACCAATTTCCAAAACTCGAATTGTCCACTCACATCCAACCCATAACGAGATCAATGTTAAAAGTGGAACTGACCATCACCCCCGATTTCCAATGGGAAGAAAAATTACACGGCGCCTCTGAAGCTTTTTGGATCCTGGTAGAAGACGTCGATTCCGAAGTCATCCTCCACCATGAATATTTCTTGCTCAAGGCGAAGTACTGTCAAGACGAGCACTCCGTCAAATTCTTTGTACCCATTTTTGAACCGCTGCCACCCCAGTATTTCTTGAGGATTGTGTCCGATAGGTGGATAGGAGCTGAAACGCAGCTACCGGTATCTTTTAGACATTTAATTTTGCCGGAGAAGAATTTCCCGCCAACAGAATTGCTGGATTTACAGCCGTTGCCTATCACGGCGCTAAGAAACGAGCAATTCGAAGGATTGTATTCCGATAAATTTCCACAGTTCAATCCCATTCAAACACAGGTAAGACTATTTTTTTATTGCTGACAAAATTTCAAGTAATTCACAAATAATTAGAATGACCCACCAAAAATGTTTCTAAAATAGGCCATGACAAAGACAGTAGTATGAGTCATGTCCATGATAACACTGCATGGCTCTGAATTAAATCCAAACTAACACTTAAACAAAAGAGAAGAATTATGATAAATTGGTAGAATGAAAATGAAAACTTTTTAAAATACATTTTATTTACCTGCGAGTCAACTTTTTTATTTAAAAATATAATCCTGTAATGAGATAATGGTCGCGGGAAAATAAACATTTAAATATTCTGGTATACACGGTATTTTATGGGGCTACATTATAGACCCTTTTTTCATTAACGGTAAATTTAACAGTCAAAAATATTTAGATTTCATTCAGAATACGGTTATTCCTGCAGTGCAAGTTCCATATTAGTTTCGAGAATATTTGGTTTCAGCAAGATGGATACCCAGTTTACAATGCCACTTGGATACCGATTTTCTGTGAACAATATTCACAGAACACTTGATAAACATTAAAAATGGCCTCCTCACGGGTATGGCTATTGTTTAGCAAAAGTCAATGTAATATTTGAACACTTTGTTCGTTAGGTTTAGTTATTTTTAAGTTTAGGGAATTTTTTTTTGTTATTGTTTACAATTGATTTTTATTTTATTTTCTTAGATTCTTAGAATGTTACTTCTGTTTTTAGCATTTTTTATGAATACTTGTTTTATTTTCAAAGCCATAATGGCTAATAAATTTCTTCACCACAGTTATTTGAATAATTATAAATTACTTGACACTCACAAATAATTCTTAGTTCGACAATCAGGGGAATCTAAGTAAATATTGTCTTTATTTAATTAGACATTACTAAAATTTAGTTAAAACATTGTTGTTAATTTTTAGTGATTAGACACTTTTATTTCAATAGTTTTTAGGTTAAAGTAAAATATATATTTTTATTTGGTATGATTGATAAAAAAAATCAATAAGGAACGCAGGAGAAATGGTCGGTATGTAGACGCTGGTGTTGTACACACAGTCTAGAGATGGCCTTGCTCTCGCCGTGCCTTAACCCTATGGTTTGCATACCTTTTTCCTAACCGGTATATCAACACTTCACTGTTGCATGCAGATATTTTTTTGTATATGTATTTAAACTTCTTTCATACAAACCTTACGTATTTAAAAATAGTGGAAGACTAGGGACAATGGAGCTGTAGATTTCTTTCCTATTTTAACTGTTTTTATTTTTCACCTAGACCATTTATTTAATAATAACTTTAGTATGACGAAAAGGGTATTAATATCCTTCAACCGATCATTCTAGAATACATGCAAACCTTAATAATATTTGAAATACCAATGTTTAAATATCTCGAAGCTACATTATTTGGTCAGTCCATATGAAAACATGATGTTATGTTTTAAGGTATTCAATTCGGTTTACAATGGCGACGACAATATCTTCATTGGGGCACCGACAGGCTCCGGTAAGACAACAATAGCAGAGTTTGCAATTCTCAGACTGTTTGACAGAAATGCTGAGGGCAGATGCGTATACCTCGTTCCAAAAGATGCTTTAGCAGAGTTAATTTTCGCTGATTGGCATAATAAGTTCGGCCAACATTTGGGTAAAAAGGTTGTATTACTGACAGGGGAGACCGGAACTGACCTAAAACTGCTGGCTAAAGGACAGGTAATGCTTTATAGTACCATTAGGTAGGTTATAAGATTACTCAATATATATTTTTTAGGTTGTAATAACTACTGCCGAAAAATGGGATGTGCTGTCAAGAAGATGGAAGCAGAGGAAGAATGTACAGAATATCAATTTGTTTATTGTAGATGAGTTACATCTTATTGGAGGAGAAGATGGACCTATTATTGAAGTAGTATGTTCTAGAATGAGGTAATAACAAATGCATATTTTTCTCTTTATTAATACCATTTTCTTCAATGAATCTTGTTCACCATAGTTTGTGCCTTCATCTGTTTTTATTTCCTACCACACTCCTTTAACTGCACTCTTTTAATTCCTGTGTGACGTCATGTTGCAAGGTTGCTTTAGGATGAGGTTAATCTTCTATATACTCTAGCAATACCCTTCCTCTTTTTTTAAAATAAATTAGAAACAGATTAAATGAAAAAGTAGAAAGTTGCCGTTATGATTTTATACAACGCGTTTTTAAAATACATATTAAACCTTGTTAATATTATTTGAACTTTCCTCCAATGCACAAAAATTTTGTTTTTTAAAAATATCTTATTATTATCGAGCTTAGTTCAATGCCAACAGAGCCCTAGTGGGTCTCTTATTCAATGTTGCCAAAGGAACAGTGACAACATTTTTATGTTTATGGTTATTTAATTTTTGTTTAAAAAAGGTATTTGATTAACCTTTTTTTAATTTTGTTTAGAGTGACAAGCTTGTTATAATTTGAGGGTCGGCTAAAGATGTAAATGGCCTAACTCCACTTTTAGTTCAAAATGGTTTTTTAAGTTGGTCATCCTCATAAAAATTAACTGCATCGACTGAAAAATGTCTAATTTACGAAATGTTAAAATAGCGGCCGCCAAACTTATTCGAAACCAGTCCAATTAGGCTTTCATTTTTTGAGTTGTTTTTTGTATCTCCTGAATAATTTTCGATTTTGAAGTTAGGCAACTTTAAGCCGACAATATCGGTTTTAATTTGTGCATGTGTTTTTTTATCAAAATTGCTCAATAACAAGATCATCTATTTTTATTTTATCAGAATCTTTTGAAATTTTCGTTGTATTACAGGTACATATCGTCGCAAATAGAAAAACCCATCAGAATCATAGCCCTAAGTGGTTCACTCGCTGATTATAGGGACGTAGCGCAGTGGTTGGGTTGCAATGCAAATGCAACGTTTAATTTCCACCCTAGCGTGCGTCCGGTTACTCTAGAACTCCACGTGCAGGGTATAAACATCACCCACAATGCCTCCAGATTGATTGCTATGGCTAAGCCTGTCTACAACGCAATCTTGCGGCACAGTCCGCATAAGCCTGCGATTGTTTTTGTACCTACAAGGAAGCAGGCTAGATTGACTGCTATCGATTTGTTGACTTACGCTGCAGCCGAAGGACATCCTGATAAGTTTTTCCATGCCGAAGAGGAGGATATTAAACCGTTTTTAGATAGAATGACAGATAAGGTAAATTATTGATACAAAATATACAGTCGAGCAAAATGGGCAAAACAGTGTGGCTTTATTGGACAAGTAACAACAAATGCTCAAGACAGGTCGATTTTGTTTTTTAAATTCTCATTTTTTGATATACACGTATTTATCATTTACCCAGTTGTTTTTATTCTCTATGTGTGGAAGATTATTTTTCCAAACTTAAAATTTCCCTTAAGAGGAAAATTTACATTACAAACTAAAAGACCTGCGGGGCAACGGTAGTTTAGTATGTATAAAAATTACAACTTAAGGGTGGAGCCTAAATACTACAAAATTACTTCCGAGACCAAACAAAATCAGCATTCATTCATAATTTTAACAATTGCATGTAGATACGAGGGATGCATATTCTAAACTTTAACGCGCGAAGTTGAAGACAAAGGAAGCGAAAAATATTCCACAATAGCAAAAAATAATATTACCTATGTATTTTACAATATAAGTATCGTGTAGATTAAAACTTATTTTGGCTTTCCTTATATTTTTTGCTATGAAATTAACAAAAATACAGCAATAAACAATTACTGATGTCATGGTTTTACAGGAAAGGAAGCAGTCTCTTGACTGTATGCGTCTCTCTCAGGGATGAAATGTATGCAATCTGTTTGACTCTCTTACATTATTTTATATAGGTATTATTGATTTATCCGCTATGAAGGCGAATAATGTTTTATAGGGTGTATTACTTCATGATTTTTTTTTGAGGAAAATAAAATATAAACTATTTATGGAAGGTATAAGCACAGTATATATAAGTATAGGTTATAAACAGTAAAGCTATTGCTTTGCAGAATACAATAAATTCCTTATAAAAAAATTCAATAATTAGAAGTATATAAAGCATAAATTAATAATATTAAAATATATAAGTACAGGACTCAAACTAATCAAAATCAGATTCACCACATTAATCTACATTTTCCAAAACATTGGCGGCTATGATCAAACTATTTCTGCAGTTTTTCTGTGCCATACAGTGCATTAACCGATGTAGCCAATATGTTTTTCTGCATTTGCAAATTTTGCTTCCATAGTCTAGAATAGAATAATATTGGACATATATGAAAATTATCGGTGTATAGTACCTTTTTTGCATTTGCATGATAACTTCTGTTATTTCTGGTAGCAGGTCGAGCATAATCTTAAGAGTGAGTATCAGGCTTCAATCTTGATCTACTTTCCATTCATACTCTTCAACATTAGGAAGCTGCATCTGGGTCTTTAAAGAGCTTAGCCAAATACTTAGCTAGTAAAAACATCTTAAACAATGTAATCTTAGGGCATCTTCACTCTATGGCAATTTAGCAATTATTTTAAAGGGACCATTAATCTCCTCAAAATGTTAATGGAAGTAACATTGGCAGTTTTTGAATACAGTTTTATGAAAAAATTTTCAAGATTAGAGAATGTGTTTTCAGAGTACCTACGAATCAGTGCCAAATCCATCCAAAAGGTGATGGTGTTCAAGGTAGGTTTTCCAACAGGTTTTTTTTCCAATGCCAGACAATTGGTTGGATTTATTACGACCTGTCACAGAATGAAAAGAAGGCAAATTTTTTAGAAGTTTTTTTTATCCAAATTTAAATTATGTACTGTTATAAATCGTCACGAGTCTCCTCGCCCTATTACGAACCATATCTTTTTAGTTCAAAACTACTTAAAATAAATTAATAAGACTAGAACATCTGTATCGTTGCAATCAATAATGCAGCGCGAATTCCCCGAATTTCTGGCTGATAATATGTGCAATAAGATACGAGTATCAGCTTCTTCAAGATTTAAATTTAAAAAATCGTCTTTTGATGGTTCAAAATTCATCCCATATTTATTGATACTCGCGAATCCATCACTAGATACAAATTTTCAAGAAGTTGCTCTGACAGAAAATGTGTTAAACGTCTTTTATTAAATATCGAATGAATGAATAAGTTTCATTATTCTGGAAGTGGAATATTGGGTCGGTCAATTTCTATATCAATTGATTTCTGGGATCATCTCTTTTGACGTGTTGTATTTTTGATAGAATTTTCTTTATGATTAAATACCACATCTATCCTTTGAGCATTAAATTTATTTTTAAAAATAATCTTTACAAATATATTAGCATATTCTTTAAATGATATGCAACTTTTGGACTTTCCCAAACCTTGAGCTATTGCTATCCCATCAAAAATGTGACAAGTTTTGCAAGATCACCTAGGTGCAGGTAAGTCTTTGTGGGTCATATTGCTCTAAAATATTTCCCAATAAACTCTTATTTGTAGAGGTGCCGAGATACCCATTTACTGTTAGAGACATGGGAGAAGGCTGTCAGATCAAACTTAAATATTTCGGCATAATTACCTAATGCTTCTGTCCATATCCTTTGCTAATAAAATATTGTGAAGAAACTGTTGACCATGTAAGGATTAAGAAGTCATATTTTGATATCATTTGTGTCTTTGCTTCTTGCAACAACAAATCCGTAATTAAAATGTTTAACGAAAACTTACCCATTTTACCCAAATATATTCAGGCATTCAGCTATAACAGGATGAATGTAGATGTAATAAAAATCTAAAAAATGTCTATATTTCTTCCCAATTTATTAGGAACTTTAATATATAACACACTTATTATTTTTTTAGTAAAAACAGACAATATGACACTTTGTCCATTGGTACCTAACGAAAAGTTTTATAATAAAAAAATGAAAAAAATTTGAGCATATCAATAATGTGATGTATCAGCCGACACGTAGAGACAAACAGAGCTATACTACGTTTTTCATTAGGGCCTTCCTTTTTGTTAAATGATAAAATTATATTTAAAAAAATGACTTTTTAAACAAATTTTTAAAGGGCTGAAATTTTTTTTAAATAAGTATAAAAAATTACTCCTTACAAAGATTTTATTGTGCATTGGACCAAAAAATAAATATTTTTTTTTATTCGGCGGTATATCAGTATCTGGATTTTTGATGATAGTGCCCTTCTGCACAGTCTAATTTTGTGTTACCTCCGAAATAAGGGTTACCTTATCATGACCTTTTGTCTCTGAAAAATTCAGCTTGTGACAAAGAGGGGTAAATCGTTTTCTAGAGCGAATATTTTAATACATACACTCTACTAATAATAATTGATTAAGAGTAGAAAAGCGTCCATAGTTTAGCAATACATTCCCTTCTATATCACATAATAATATGTCCTCGATACCAAAAGTCAAAGTAACAAAAACAGGAGGCTAATGTAAACAAACAATAAACGGTCTCATGACATTTTATATTTTTAAATAAACTAGGTTTTTAAAAAATATTTTCTATACCTGTTATTTTTTATATTCAAGCGGATTTATAATATTTAAACTTGGAGTAGCCATGTGTGAGTTGGTTAAATGAAAAGGTATCTTTGGTTTTATAATATGTAGCGATCAGATATAATGTTTCAGCATATTATTATTATTTATATTTTAACAAAAATTATTTTTATTGTTTGAATAATCTGTTATAATGAGGTACAGCTTCTAGAACGAATTCATAAAAAACCCGTACTGTTAAACTCACCATTTATTTGGCATTCTGCCCAGAAAGTTATTTTTCTACTGCATATTCCTTTTTCTTCAGTCAACACTCTAGCTTCATATGGACATTTTAACTCTTATCATAGAGTTTTTTGTTTTAAATTCCATCTGGACTGGCAGGAACATAATCAAATTCGGAATCAATAAAAGTCCACATTTAAAAACTTTTTCTTGCTAATAAATTTCCAAATCTTATTTTGCACTGTATTTATTGTCCATGTCATATTAAAAGGCTTTAGCAAAAAATAAAAGATTTTATGAGATTGTTTAAAAAATGCCTTTCCTTTTTTTACAAATGTCTCCAAATTTTGAAACAGTGACTCGTTTTCGTCTTTCATTTTGCTACAATCCACAATCAGCTTGATCTCTTGTCACATTCATTTTTTTCTCATCTATAGACATTATCAAATTTTTTAGAAAATCTTTTGCAACGCGCATCAAAGAGTGTGAGAGATCAAAGCCACGCTCAAAAGCAAAAAAAATATTTACTAAGTTCGAAAAAATATACATTACTTTAACAGCTTAAAGAGTTGTTAACATGCTGGAATTCATTATTCTTAACTCGAATATGTATTCTTTAAAAAAAATTCCCGTGCAATATAAAAGTTAATTTATAATTCAAATCTCATTGTATACCTTTTAATTTCGGATATATTTTTTTAATAAATAAATGATAAAATTAATTTAAAATAATTGAGCGAAATTACTGTATGTAAAAATAAAAAAGTGTACAGACATAAAACAAAATAAATTCAAATCACTTGCGTACGTTTATCACTTGTAAACAATAGAAAAGGATATACATTTTGTTGGTGTCGTCCTCTTGACGAAAAAACTTTTAACGTATTTTTTTAATTTTTATTGAGAAAAATAAATGTTCCTGTAAAAATTAAAAACATATATTGTTCTCTTCTAGCATTTTTATTTGTATTTTTTTTTTTTTTTTCGATAGAAAGATATCTTCTTACATTTTCTCAAAATAAACCGATTCAAATGTTCAAAAAGTGACTCCTTTACCTGTACTTACTTAATTTTTCAAAAAATAAAAAATAATCCGAAAAATTGGTGTACTATGAAACCCATTGCATATTATATAAATATGTGTCCATATTAGTATTACAGAAATGATTTACGTAAAACAATAAGGTATACCTACAAATATGTAAACTTTAATTATCCCTCGTAAAACATCAGTAAAATATTTTGTAAATTGTTTTCATTCACAAATATTAATTTCTTAAAAATCTAACAGAGGCGCCACTTGCCAGACGAAAAATCTTGCACTGTAAGGGTTTCGTAGTAACCCACTTTTAAAGTTTATTTTTAAGTATTTTTAAAAGAAAAAAATACGTACGTGTAGATAAAGGTTAAATCTATGCTCCTCTGGAACCACGTTTTCAAAATTCAATTTAGTTTTTTCTAAAAAAAAAATGAGAAACTGGATCAAAAAAAGTCGAGTTTTGTGTTTTTTTTTAGAAAAAACAAATTGAAATTTTGAAAGTGTTTCCAGCGGAGCACAGATTTTAACCTTTACCTACACGCACATATTTTTTTCTTTTAAAATATGTCAAAAATAAACTTTAAAAGTGGGGTACTACGAAACCCTTGCATGCTCTGCTCTAAAGCCAAGTAAATACTCCTCTTAATCAAATTTAAAAAAAATACGAGATCTTTTTTCTCGAAATAATTTCTTTTGTATAACTCCTCTTTTGATTATCATAATTAGTAATGTTTTTGTTTCCATGACATATTACAGAAACTTTTTAAAATGTCTTATTTCTTCCGATAATTTATCACAATTAAAAATAGACATTCTTTTGCATATGTACGCCAAATTTCAAGGTATTTTAACATAAAAATATTTTCGAGAAAAAAATTCTTATAGAACTTTATTTAGCATTCGTAACAAGGACTGGAACATTTTTCATCTGGAAAATATTGTTATGTAACATACTACGAAATTTGGCGTCCTAACAAAAAAAAATAAGTGCTCTTACAATTGTGTTCTATAGATTATAGAAATGGATTTTTGTTTCTTGTACATATTTGTTACTCAGTAGAAAGAATTGAAATTGAAACGGGATTGGCAGAAAATTTTACATGAAAACAGGCTTAAAAATTAATTATTGATATTTTAATAACTAATTGTGCACTTCTCTTTTGCCATAATCTTATTCGTAAAGTGCTCATTGACAGCATAGGACACAACAATTCAGTAAGTTTTTGTTTTATTTTAGATTTGAAAATTTCTTGGTACAAATTAAAATACTTTTACGTCATTAGAATATATATGTAAAAATTGTGCATGTAAAAAACAAATCCGACCTCTTCAAGCATTTTTTGTTACTTTCTGATAAAGCCAGAAATCTGATGTTTCGTTCATTATGTCCAGCCCTGTATGAATTTGATGATAGTATCTTTAATATTTTTGCTTCAAATTGCCACTAATTTGTCAATTTAATTTTTTAGACATTAAAAGAAACCTTATCACAAGGTGTGGCTTACATGCACGAAGGTCTTACCGCTAGTGACCTCCGTCTTGTAGAACAACTGTTCGATTCTGGAGCCGTTCAAGTTGCCGTAGTTACAAGAGACTTATGTTGGGCTGTCAATATATTCAGTCATTTGGTCATTATTATGGATACTCAGTTCTATAATGGTAAAATACATGCTTACGAAGATTATCCCATTACTGACGTACTCCAGATGGTGGGCAGAGCTAACAGACCACTGGAAGATGATGATGCAAAATGTGTGCTAATGTGTCAAAGCTCGAAGAAGGATTTCTTTAAGAAGTTTTTGAGCGATCCGTTACCTGTTGAGGTGAGTGTTATAAAATATTAAGTGCCATATGCATGCACTGTTAAAGAAATAAGCGAAACTTAAAATGACATTTTCGTTTCAACTCGGAAAATCGCTTTCATCTTTTTCTCTTTCCGTTAAGAAAAAAAAAAGAGGGGGATTTCAGAATAGTTCAGAAAAGTTTCATTACAACACTCTTACTAAATGAAATCACAATTTTCCCACATTCAAGTCTCTAAACACAAATATGTACCTTAGAGGTAAAGAATCGTATCTCTAATTTTTATTGATTTGGAGAAAATGAGTCCCAAAGTTGGAAATACGACTTTTTACCTCTTTTAAAAATGAAAATGCTATTTTTTCTAAACGTACTGTATCAAAAACTAGTAACTACTTATAGAGATTAGATTTTCTACCACTAAAAAATATATGCTTCAAGAATTTAAGTGAATGAACTCCACCTAATATAAAACTGGAGGTACGATTCGTTTTCTATGAGGTACATAAATATGAATTGTGTTTTTAGAGAAGTACCCCTTGAATTAGTACAAAGCACTTTTTCGTTATTATATTTCGTCTCGCAAGGCAACATCATGAAAATAGAATATACTGTCAGTCTACAGGGTAGGTAACAAAACTATTTGATTTTTTTAAGTCTGTTTACCAAGACTGATACATATCAAAGTTAGGTTCTTAATTCGTCGGAATATTTTTTTGATGTAAATTTTTTCCACATTGTCCGATTTGAATGATTCTTTTTTTGTTAGAAAGGGGGTACTTCAGGGGTGGTCCCATATAAATTTGGTCAAGATCTAATAATTGGGTCCATGAGAAAATCATCAAACTCTTCATTTATTATGTATGTTCAGCTATAATTCTTTACCACCTAGTACAATTTCTGTGATACTTGTTTTGTTAGAAAGGGCGTACCTCAGGGGTTAAGGGGTTAAGATCTGGTGATGATATCTATGAGAAAATCAGCAAATTCAATTTATAATGGCATCTGCACGATTTTGAAGTCGGTTTTTAAAATTACTTTTATAATTTGTTTAAAATCGAGGGTATAGTATTGTAAAATGGCACCTTTGTGTTGAATAAAATGGGGTTATTTTAAATAATTTTTATTAAAAACAATACATTTATTAATTTTCAGTAAAATGACCTTTATCTTTAATTTGACTGAAAATTAGATTTTAATTACTATATATTCGGAAATTAGTTAATTTTATTATACAAATACGGTTTTAACACACAGGGATACCCCGTCCTTAATACGATTTTGCCGTTATCTAGTACATCTCAGTAAAGCACATATTCATAACATTTGCTTTTGTTTTTGACTAACGCCCTCACAGAGCGGCCGCTTTCCGTATTATAAGTTCAACAAATTTTCAGAGCCATTTGGACCATAGACTACATGACCATTTCAATGCGGAAATAGTTACGAAAACCATTGAAAATAAGCAAGATGCTGTCGACTACTTGACTTGGACTTTCGTTTATCGTCGTTTGACACAGAACCCGAACTATTATAATCTACAGGGCGTTACTCATCGGCATTTATCCGATCATTTGTCGGAGTTGGTCGAGAATACCCTTTCCGATTTGGAACAATCTAAGTGTATTAGTATAGAGGACGATATTGATTGTGTACCATTGAATTTGGGAATGATTGCTGCATATTATTACATCAATTATACAACAATTGGTAAGATATTATTATTTTTCTTCTCGTTCTATCTTCTGTAATAAGTTCTAAATCGCTCCGTATTTAATCTTATATCCTTTATTTTACAGAATTATTCAGTTTGTCATTGAACAGTAAAACAAAAATACGGGGTCTTTTGGAAATTATTTCTTCTGCAGCAGAATATGAAGATGTACTGGTACGACATCGAGAAGATAATATTCTAAGACAATTGGCTCAGAAACTACCAAACAAACTTACCTCCGCTTCCGGCGGTCAACCTAAATACAATGACCCTCACGTCAAAACCAACCTCCTTTTACAGGTATGATTTATTAACACACATTTGTCAGATAGTCATATTGATTTTATTTTAGTAGGGCAAAGTGGGTAACAAATTAAAATGGGGGTAAAAGTAGATCAGTAATATGTCATTTCTTTTCCCAACAATATTAACTAATATCTTTTTTCAGGCTCATTTGTGTAGGTTACAACTCGGAGCAGAACTGCAGGGTGACACCGAAACAGTCTTGTCTAAAGCGATCAGATTGATTCAAGCTTGCGTCGATGTGTTAAGTTCAAACGGTTGGCTTTCTCCTGCCGTCGCTGCTATGGAATTGGCTCAGATGGTGACGCAAGCTATGTGGAGTAAGGATTCCTATCTCAAGCAGTTGCCCCATTTCGATAATGAGGTTATAAAAAGATGCACTGATAAAGTAAGTTTATATTGATATTATTAAGTCTATGAAGGGGTTGTAGATGAGATGGAAGAGGGATGTTTTTTTTCGTCGAAGGTGTTTAGAGTAGTTAGGAGGTATAAATACTAAAAGTCCCAGAACCTAGGTACAAAGCTAGGGGATAAAAGGGGAAAAGGTGCCGTTTTTTAGATTTTCCCTTATATCTCGAAAATGATTGTTCCTTGGCAAAAATGATTCTGGTAAATGAAAGGTGATAAAATTTCCTACAAGATTATTTTTATTATTTTTTTTTACTTTGCTGATGGTTTTCTAAATAAACTAGTCACAACGAAATATGTATCACTTATTTAAATTGTTATAACTCCAAAAAGAGAGGAGATACCTACCTTAAATTTTGTGTTCTTATAGTTTAGGTATGTGTCTTGTAGTGGTACCCAATGTTACGCCTATGGACAGGTATAAGTGCGCGACAAGGGCGATTACGTCAGCGTCTGAGAGCAGAATGCATTCAGACCGGTTATTCGGCAAATTAGATGTTTTTTAGGCACTTCGCTTGTGGCCGTCTCGCAGACCACTGCACCCGACGGCCGGCACAGTTTTATGTATTTTACATGTATTTTTCGATATTTTTCTAATAAAAAGTTGTGTTTTCTCATCGAGAAGAATCTTAATTATTCCTGAACCGACTGAGCAAACAAGGGCAGTCTTTAAGAGTGTGCAAGTTTTAATTTTTAAACATTATCATACATTTAATAAAGTTAAAAATAAAGCAAATTGATAACAACAATTGTTTATTAATATCAAAAAATTTCAAAATAAACAAAAACTAATAATGTGTATGCCCTCCTCTGGCTCTTAAAACTTCGACACAACGTCTAGGCATAGATTCTATTAGTTGACGAATCGTTCCTTGAGGAATATTGTTCCATTCCTCCTGAAGTTGTACTGCTAACACTTGTAGATTATTTGGCTGTTCTTGATCTCGCAATCTTCTTCCCATGATGCTCCAAAGATGTTCAATGGGGTTTAAGTCGGGGCTGTTGGCTGGCCACTCTATTACAGTAAGATTTCCCTCTTCAATAAAGATTTGAACAATTCTTGCAGTGTGGGGCCTTGCACTATCTTGTTGTAAAACAAAATTAGGGCCTTCTAGATGAGCAAGTTGAACGACAATAAGTGCTTATATCTTATCGATATATATGTTCAATTGAATACCTCCCCAAACCATTACAGAACCACCGCCAAAAGCTCTTACTTCTCTTACATTGCAATCCAAAAATCGTTCTCCACGGCGTCTATAGACTCTCACACGTCCATCTTGATTCATCCGTGAAAAGAACATGGCTCTATTGATGAATATCCCAATTTACATGTTCTTCTGCAAAGTTTCTTCTTACTCTACGATGAGCTGGTGTTAATGAGGAATAATAGCTTGACTTCTTGAGTGTAGTTGGGCTTCATGAAGTCTGTTACGTGTAGTCTGTAGAGATATGCGTCTACCAGTGGCCTGAAAATGTAAGTTTCTTATCTGTGTAGCTGTTCTTGTCCTATTTTGTAGGGATAATCGTACAATTTGGCGGTCCTGCCGGGGCGTAGTTATTCTTTCTCGTGGTGTTTATGGTCTTCTACGGATAATACCTGTCTTGAAATCTATTCCACATTCGGTGAATCGTTGGTTGACTTGTTTGAAGCAAGCGGGCTACGTATCTCTGCGAACGTCCTTCTTGTAATAGTGTAACGGCTCTTGCTACTTCAATTTCACTTAGATGCCTTCTTTGTACAATAGGCCTTCCAAGAACATCGTTATTCATAATTTCAAGACAATTATTAATGTTACAAACAATTTAATTAGTGTACAAAGTAAAACTGAATGTATCATATAAGTACTTTTAATTTTTTGCTTATATATTTTTTTTCTCACCTCATAAAAAAGTTTTGTTTTTTTATATTGAAAATATGCATTTAGGTGTGCTTGTTATTTGTATAAATTTTAATGGAAAATACGGGGGACATTTAAAAAGATTTAGATAATTAATTCAGTGATACCTATTTCGTTGTGACTAGTTTATATCTAACACAAACTGCACATTATCACCGCAACCTTATCTTTACCAAAGAAGTTATAGAGCTGCAAATTTTCATTAAAATAAACTTTTATCCAGTATTTTAACCTTAACTGGTGCGTAGTTATAACAATTTTAATATATTGTTACGCTGGTTTTTGGTATCACAATTTATTTCAACTGAACTTTACAATAACTATAATTCAACTTTGACAATAACTTTACAACGGATAACATTCACGTATAACGTCTATCATAAAACTAAAACTCTGACGTCAGGTCGTCGACTTATATAGCTTGTTGACCTTCTCGAAATGTCATCTAGAATGTTCTTGACGTGTAATGACATTTCTGGAATATTCTGTCTTTTACTTGTACGTTTCCTATGATAGCCGCAGGCTACTACAGGGTGCTGCATAACAATACAATAAATAAGCAAGTGGAAAATAAAAAGTGAAAATAGCTTTTTGATTGTTCTAGGGCGTGGAAACAGTATTCGACATAATGGAATTGGAAGATGAAGATAGAAGTAAACTGCTTCAAATGAAAGAGACCCAAATGGCGGACGTGGCCAAGTTTTGTAATCGTTATCCCAACATAGAGTTGAGTTATGAAGTTATTGATAAGGATCAAATACATTCAGGATCTTCGGTACATGTGGCGGTTCAGCTAGAGAGAGAAGACGAAGTTAGTGGACCGGTTATCGCCCCATTTTACCCACAGGTAAATTTCTAATATTTTGTAGGGGTAATTTTGAAATGTGCTTTTTCATTTCCAAAGAAATGATATATTTTAGGATCAATAACAGATACATTTTCGGAACTTGTAAATAAGTGTTGTTTTTTTTTTAAATTAAATTTGGCAAAATGTTTTACCTCTCTTTTTAATTTGACTCAATTCTTTTCAGAAACGAGAGGAAGGTTGGTGGGTAGTCATCGGAGAGCCAAAAACAAATTCCCTCCTTTCCATTAAGAGACTGACCCTTCAGCAAAAAGCGAGAGTGAAGTTGGATTTTGTAGCGCCCAGTCCCGGTCACCACAACTATACTTTATACTTCATGAGTGACGCATATTTGGGTTGCGATCAAGAGTACAAATTCTCAATTGAAGTCGGTGATTTTGAGTCCAGCGGAAGCGAGTCAGAATAAGAATAATTTAGCGTGTTTTTGTACAGTTATAGTTTAGAAAGTAAATTATACTTTAAGATAATTTTGGTTTTATTTTTATCCCTAACCAGATTTGATTTCATCCTGTATTATATAGTGATGGCAACGTTGCACTTCAAGTAGACACGTCTTTGCGAGCTCCAGTAAATTGTTAATTTTTAAGGGGCAAAACAAGGTTTAAATTCTAATTTTGTCTCGAGTAGGTGTTAAAAGTGTTTATAGCCTAGTTCGTGATTGAAAACTACCCTAAGTAGTCTTGTAAACTTTAATTCTGAAGTTTTTTTGTCAATATATACACAATAAGTGTATCAACAATATGGGCAAGTCCTCCAATAGAAACTTACGGGGCAATTTCCGTTCTGACAATACTGCAGAGCAATTAAACTTGGAGCAAGAAAATTAAGACTACATCGAAAAAATCATTAAAATGGTATGTAAAAGATTAGAACCTAAAATTGATGCTAAATTTTCTGAATTTACTCAAAAAATGATGGAAATTGACACTAGAGTAACTAAGATTGAAGAAAGAAAGAAAATAAAAAGTTAGTAATTCGTTAGAAACCTATAAGAGAATGAAGAATATTAGAATAAATGGTTGTTATATACATTACACGTAAAATATAGTTCTGGACAACATTCAATTATTGATTTAATACATTGTCATAGAGTCCTCCCCAGGCAATGATACCATATCTTAGGAGCGATTCTACTAATGATTTATAAATTTGTATAAGTAGTTTTTTTAGATAAGATTTTGCGAACACAATAAAATTTTGATATTAAGCGCCTAATTTTGTTTGTCAGATCTTGAATGTGATCATTCATTTCAAATTTTTATCGACTCTAATGTCTAAGTACTTTATTGTATTAGTTTCTTTAATGGTAATATCAAATTCGTTTATTTTAATAGAGTTAAAACTAGATCTATTTGCATCGTTCATAGAGAAGGCTATGTAAAATGTTTTGTCGGCGTTCAAGGTTAATTTACTAAAATCAAGCCAGCGTTTATGATCTTTAACAATTTCCCAGGTTTTTCCTTTAAAAAGTAGCACTGTGTCATCTGCATAAGAAATGGAATCTCCATTTATATTTAGTAATGAATAATTAATGTAGGTAATGAACAGAAGAGGACCAAGTACAGTGCCTTGTGGTATTCCAATTTTAACATCTAAAGAATCACTATACACATTTTTACTTTCTGTTTACGCTCTTTTAAATAACTTATGAAAATTTTCAACACAATACCCCTAACACCATATTGTTCAAGAACCTCAATGAGTTGTCTATGAGATACTGTGTCGAAAGCTTTTGTAAGATCAAGGAAAATTGCAATTGCCTTCTCATTATTGTCTAGTCCATTTTTAATGTTATTTATGAGTTCGTACATGGAATCATTAGTACTAATTCCAGGTATAAATCCAAATTGATTTTTTATTTAATATGTTAACAGAAGAATAACCTATTTTTTAAACATTTTTCAAAAATTTTAGGAAAATTGGAGATAGCACTTATGGGTCGGTAATTTGTAATATTGGCTTTGTTACCTTTTTGAAAATTGGAGTGATTGTTGATATTTTAAAATGTGAAGGTACTATACAGGTTACAAAAGTTCTGTTTATTATATGGACTAGGGGATCTAAAAGAAGTCTGTGATATTTTTTTATTAGCCTTGATGTAATGCCATCATAGCCTGGTGCGCTGTTAATATGCACAATTATTTCTTCATTTGAAACGGGTTTTAAAGCCATGGAGTGTACAAAATTGGGGTAGTTCAAATTATTCTGGTAGTTAGGTTATTTAATTTTTGCATACATGTCAGTTCCTACATCTACAAAAAAATATATTACATAAATTAGCCATTTTGGTATCGTCTCTAAAGGGTTCGTTATTACTATTTGATATACATATATTATTTTTGGTTTTATTTATTTTCTCATTTGTGGCATGAGCAATTATTTCTAAAATTTTTTTCATATTATTGATATTTTATTTAATTTGATTCTTGTAGTATGTGTTTTTCGTAATTTAGATTAATTTGTTAAGATTATTTCTATAATTTTTATATTCTTGTAATAAATTAACATTATTTTTATTTCCAATTACAAGTCTTTTTAATTTATCTCTTTGTTTAATAGATTTTATTATACCGCTAGTGATCCAAGGTTTAAGTTTCTTGCAGTTAAGAAACCTTTTCGAATTTGGTCATACATACCTAATTTGTATTTTATTTACATAGATTAAACTATTGTCAGACTTGTCCAACACAGAACACATTTTCTAATTACAAAACAAGCACCATGTACTGACTTACAGAATGTTTTGCAGAATAGGGAATTATGTAACAAGTACAGAATATGTACATTTTGTTCTTACAGAATCTGCATCTTATATTCAGTGCATATATATTTACAGTACATAGGTTTTTATTAAATAAACACATAAGCATAGAAAAACTAAACTAAACATATAAGTGTTGCCATTGTTATTAAAATTTTAACAAATCTATTATTATTTTATTAAAAGGGAACTCAAAAATATCCCAAATGTCACAATTTCAGTGATAATAGTAATTGCTCTACTGTAATCTTGACACTAAGAATAATAAAAAAGAAATTTTATACAATGATTCCACCAAATCCCTGAAATCTTATAAAACTAAGCGGATTTTGGCAAAGAGAGATAATCTGGGCCTGATCATAAGTATTTCGAGTCAACACAAATTTAAATGTCCAGGAATGTGCACTAAATAGACACTTCTATTATTTATGAAAACACTTCAGTGAAAATAAAGTAATTTTTATAGATTTAATGCTTATTTAAATTATATAAAAATATTAGGATTTCTTTAAACTAAATTGCTGCAAATATTCCACTTCCAAGGGATGAAGAGTAGGTCCAACAACAATCAGGGAATGTAAAGGTCCTCCTAAATCAACTTCAGACATTTCTCTTAAATTACACGTTATAATTTGCTGGGTTTCAGAACCAACTCTAGCTAAACCAATACACATAACTTTTTCTCCGATGATTAACTCTTCACTTTTTTTATTTTCAACTATTTGGAGAAGTTGTTTTGCAGCTTCACTGACAGTCATAAACTTAGGAGGCATGTATTCTCTTTTCTTCCTGGTAAGACTTTCTAAAGTTGGTTCTTTAACTTTTATATCTAGCAGGCATAGGGTGTGTAATTGATTTTTATAGTTATTCGCTATTTTATCAAAGAAACTATCAGGTTGCCAAGTCTCTGTCCAATAGGGAATTGAAACAGTTTCCCCAAAAGAATATAACTGTAAACCACAACAGCCCACAGCATTTAATATGGAAGTATTGTGTACAACTTGGAATTTTATGCCTTTTTCTTTTGCTCTGAGGATGAGATCAGTATGTGTTGTTGCTCCAAAAGGATCTCCGACTACTAGCAAAGCTACGTCTTTCTCTCCGCTATCTGCTAGTATATCATCAGCACCCTGTTCTACTAGGTCTCTATCAGCTATAATTAATTTTCTATCATAAAACTTCTCAAGTTCTTCAGCTCCACATGTTAAAATAGAGGTATAGGCTTCTAAATAAACTCTATCACATTTTTTAACTATTTCTAATCCTTTAACTGTTATATCTTTGGGATCTCCTAATCCTAATCCAATTAAGTAAAACATGTTAGTTTAAATTTAAAACTTAATCACAAAATTGAAAAGAAATCTAAATTCTAACCAAATAAAAACATGTGTTTATGTTGTCATGTTGTCAATAATGTCAATTTCAAAGTTAAAACAATGCTGTGTAGTTATATAGATTGGTCATCTATATTATTCTATATTATGTAAATCAATGTTATACAACTTTATAGATTGCTCACTCATATTTAAATAAGACGATAACAGATTAGTTCATGCCCAAATATGTTTTAATATCAAATTTCAGCTTCTAAATAGTATTTATTAAAAAAGTAATAATTGAATTTTTACTTCAAGACACAAACTTATGTTAGGTTATATTTTTTGCGAATAAGATCAACGGATCTTTTACATGAATATATCAACGGATCTCTAAGATAAACAATCCATGGCTCTTTAACATAAATAGATCAACGGATCTTTAACGTAAAGAAATCAACGGATAAAACAGAAAGATCAATATATCTTTAACACGAAGAGATCAACGGATTTCTAAGATCAACGGATCTTTAACATGAAGAGAGCAACGGATCTCTAAGATCAACGGATCTTTACTACAAAGAAATCAACGGATCTTTAACTCGAAGAAATATACGGATCTTTAACAAGAAGAAATCAACGGATTTCTATATAACCAGTACAATATCAACGGATCTCTTTAACCATCGCAACGTGAACAATGGATCCTTATAATGGTGGGTGGAGTTTTTTTTAGTTTTCCTTATCTTTCAGTTAAATGGCACAATCAATTTGTAAGTCACCCCATAGCGCCACGACAAATAATAATAGCTGCCCCTATCCCACACAAGCTCTACTTTTTGGTATTAAAAAGTCACTCATCAATGGGCATCACGATTACCTAAAGGATCGACGAATCATGGCAAGTTTGAAGTTGGTACTTTTCCTTTCAGTTCATCGGAGAGCCTTATATACAGGGTGGCCGAAGCAGGTAAGAAATGTAAAGATGACAGCGATGTGGTGTAATTCGACACCCAACAAACTTAAAACTTTTATTTATGGGATATTTCCAAGAAACACATCAAGATAACTTGTTGATGTTAACGAACATATGCTTAGGATGCCAAAACTGTATTGATTGGTAAACGAACCAAAAACGAACTGTTCTGTCTGATATTATAATACGATCTTTGCTTTTTAAATATAATTGTGTTGTTTTATAAAGTAAATGTAGTTTATTTTTGATATTCTTACAAACTCGAAATGAAATTAACAATGTGTGGTCAGGAATTGTAAGTGGATTACTTATTGGGCCTTACAATGTACTGGACCGTTTGACAAGCGACATTTATCTTTATTTTTTTATAAAATCATCTTGGTCTTTTAGAAAATGTGTCATTAAAGATAAAGCAAGATATATGGCTGTTTCAGCCCATCATACACTTTCAATATAATGTTCTTTACATCGTTTGATACGGGCTTTCGATAATTGGGTTCCACTTGCACCCGCCTATGAATCTATAACTATTGTAATAATAGAATTGTCCTATAACAATTGTTTTTATCGAATTTATAAAGAAACTTACCAATATTTTATTGTTATTTTTAAAATATTTTAATTTTTTTGTATTATAAACAATGTCCAAAGTAAATAATCCTATTATATTAGGCTATGTATATTTAACGAACCCTCTTGTTTAAATAAAGATTTTGAAAAAACAATTTTATAAATTTTGGTAATAAATAATAAATAAATAATTCTTTCATATTTGATATGACGCGCGCAGCCTATGCTGACTGTTACCTTTCGTCGGAATTTTCATTCAAAAACAAAAGTTTTATTGATCACTCATTATGACTCACTCTCAAATATTTTATTCTAGTATAGTTCGCATATCGCCTACTCATTTTTATCGACAGTTTTTTTGTTGTGTTGTTACTTACATATTTTACGTTTTCGTCAACGTTTTCGATCGAACTATAGGTAAAATCCATTAGGTATTTAACTGTTGTAAAATATTTTGGACAATACGAAAAACCTGAAATATGTTTCTAACCAAGAAAAAAATTTATATTTCAACTTGAAACGTTATTATGGTAGTTCATTCAAATTGGAATTATTGTAGAAATTTTTACGATACTGTGAAAAACAACATACGTTATTGAAATACGGAAATCGGTCCAAAACCGTTCTTGATTCCCTTATAAAATGTAGGATTTGTAAATCTTAGCCGTGCTTATGTTATATATGTTTGGTATCTATTATTATTATTATTATTATTATTATTATTATTATTATTATTATTATTCATATTAGATATTATTGGGAAAAAGAGTTGAAGTCAACGAAGTGGTTCTAAATAATATTCAATATTTAACGAACCTAAGTCTTTGTATGACCGATAGCTAGGTTGCTTTGTTGAGGACACAAAAATGTATTGATTGTTGTTAATCCATACCTGATTTATTTTTGTAGCTAGATTTGCGTTATTTGTTTAGGCAGTGGATTTTAAAAGTGTACCAAATATCAAAAAGTACCGTGTGGTTTATTAGTAATGACCTCAGGAAGATATCAGACAAATCGATAAAAACACCCTGTATCTCAGTTATAAAGGCTGCAAGCCCCATTAAATATGGTATTTTTAGGACCATCTCAGCGAACTATCATCACCATTAACTTATTTCCGTTTTCCAATGAAAAAAACCCTGTGCAAAAATTGATCAAATTAAAAGAAACTTGTTAAGGTTCCCATTAGCAATGGAAACAAAGGGTGGTTCATCTAGTGTTCTTTTTTTAATTATATGTTATTTTGATACTAAAAGCTTTTTCCCGCTCGAAATTTTTTGGTGCGCATTTTGGAGCGGTGGCATCATTTGGCCATTTTTCTTTGAAAATGCTGCAGGAGACGCCATTTCGTTCAACGGTGAGCGATACAGAGGCATGATAAACAATTTTCTATGCTGGAAATTAAAGGATGGCGCACCATGCCACACAGCCCATGACACAATCGATCTTTTGCGCTCCAAGTTCGATAATCGTGTTATAAGCCGTCACGGCGATGTAAATTGGCTACCTCGCAGCTGCGATTTGACGCCTTTAGATTTTTTTATGGGGTACCGTAAATGACCGATGTTATGCCGACAATCCATCAACAATTCAGGCCCTTAAGGTGAATATCGAGCAAGCCATTCGTGACATGGAGCCAGAAACCGTCATCAATGTCTTGGAAAATTAAGTTAACAGGAAGGGCTACTGCGAAGCCAGCCGAGGCAGCCTCACACCAAATCCTTTGGATATCTACTGGACATCCCAATATCCACTGAATGTCCACTCCATAGTAGATATCTATTTTATATCCATGAGATGTAATTTATAGACATGCAAATTGTGAATTTAATATATCGTAGATCCCAAATCGAAATCGGAAAGGTCAGAATTATCTGAAATAGGTTTTAAAATAATTTGAAAATTAGGAAACACATTTTCAAAATCCACCTACGAATTATTAAGACTATCCCTGAACCCAAATGTGAAAACAAATACTTGGAGATTTGAAAAAGATCTATCGTCGCTAGGATTCGAATTCAGACATCTTTGTTCTGCACACAAATCCTCTACCTATAGACCATCACTACATTGACTATCGAGATTTACTAGACGGCAGTTTGAAGTGTTAATTCGGACCAAGCGCCGTTTCAGGCTCGTTCTCAAATATTCAAATACAGCAACACAACCCCTGGTACCGGCCCTGTTTCCTGCTAGCCGCGTCCGTGAATCCATGCCTGCATAGTGCTGCCACCTAGCGAGTGACAGACAAGACACGAGAGTGAGATTGATCGCGATCCGAGATCGATACTATTCGCGATTCAAGCTAAGTGATACGCCCTCTGGAGGAAATTTGTAGAAGGTCCGTATAAGTAGGATATCGTTCACTGTTGCCAGAAGTAGCAAAACTTCGCTACGTCGTCGGATTTTAGCTCTTGAAGAAGTGGATAAGACCTTTTATTTAAGAATCAAAATTTGTGTATGGTAATATGTTATCATAATCTATATTTATTTAAGGATTTTTTTATAAAACCGATTTATTATATTGATTTTTTTATATTTCAGTTCATTTATTAATTTTGTTTTAAAATCAGTTCATCATTTGGCAACATTGGCGTTCCTGTTCATTGTTTACATCTGTTTACATTTTAATTTGAATCAATTACAATTCGAGTTTTTTCTTACTTTTTAGCTTTAAATATGTTTATTTCTTATAGCATGTGATAGTGTTTATATTAAAAATGAAATATGCGAAAAAGTCCCCAGAAAATTGCAATCTATATGGTGTTAATGTCAAAATGAAAACTGAATTATTCATTATTTTCCAAGTACAAGTCGTAAAATTTTGTTTTTTACGATAAATGGATATCTACAAATTCACAATATTGAAATTTTACAAAACTTTGTTTAGAATCAAACTGTAATCTTATTTTTTGACGGTTTTATTGCCATTTACATGTATACAAAGTACTACATGATTCACTTCATAATATAAGAATAAGTCTAGTAAGATTTTTAAATAAGTTCATCCATAATAAACGTGTGGTACCTGAAATGTCCTTTAAACCACATAATAAAACATGTCCTGGGTTTAGTGAATACATATTTCTAGATGTTCTTGTAGCAACCAACAGGTGAATATTTCCAACAAATTAAGTCATACACATGATAAATATTATATTTATGACGAAAGCACGAGACTTAAACTTAAATTAACACTAAATGAAACTCAAAAACACTATTACAATGAGAATATTATCTAAAAACAGTTAAAAAAATCACAAATACAAAATCCGCCCAAAACAAAAACATGTAAATAAACAAACATCCTACTTATAGATGACAAATGACAGGCGCGCGAAAATTAATTTGAATCGCCAATAGAGAAAGTAAAAGTTGAAAAGTCTTTTGGTAGGTAGAGAGGGGGTAAACGTCAAACCTCGTCGGGCGGCTCCGAGAATTTCACAGTAATGTTTACCTGCCAGTGTCGTTTCATAGAATAAGTAATTTTAAATTGTTATCGGCGGAACCGGACAATCGCATGTATTTATGGATTATAAA